GGGTCCGGTCTTGTTCAATATCTTCATCAATGACCTTGATGAGGGGATAGTGGCCACCCTCAGCAAGTTTGTTGATTATACGAAGTTGGAAGGATTGGTTGACACACCTGAAGGCTGTGCTGCCATTCAGCAAAACCTGGACAGGCTGGAGAGCTGGGCAGTAAGAAACCAGATGACGTTTAACAAAAGCAAGTGTAGAGTCTTGCATCTGGGGAGGAATAATCGCGTGCACCAGTACAGGTTGGGGGATGACCTGCTGGAGAGGAGCTCTGCAGAGAGGGACCTGGGTGTCCTGGTGGACGACAGGTTGGCCATGAGCCAGCAGTGTGCCCTTGTGGCCAAGAGGGCCAATAGCATTCTGGGGTGCATTAAAAAGACTGTGGCCAGCAGGTCGAGGGAGGTGATCCTCCCCCTCTACTCTGCCCTGGTAAGGCCTCATCTGGAGTACTGTGTCCAGTTCTGCGCTCCTCAGGACAAAAAAGACAGGGATCTCTTGGAAAGAGTCCAGCGGAGGGCCACAAAGATGGTGAAGGGCCTGGAGCACCTCCCCTATGAAGAAAGGCGGAGTGAATTGGGTCTGTTTAGTCTTGAGAAAAGAAGACTGAGAGGGGACCTGATCCAGGTCTATAAATATCTAAGGTCTGGGGGGCAGAGTGGAGAGGCCAGGCTCTTCTCAGCAGTGTGTGGAGACAGGACAAGGGGAAATGGCCAGAAACTGCAGCATAGGAAGTTCCGCACAAATGTGCGCAAGAACTTCTTTACGGTGAGGTGACGGAGCACTGGAACAGGCTGCCCAGGGAGGTTGTGGAGTCTCCTCTGCAGATATTCAAGACCTGACTGGGCACCTACTTGTGCGACCTGGTGCAGGGAACCTGCTTTGGCAGGGGGGTTGGACTCAATGATCTCTGAAGGTCCCTTCCAACCCCTACGATTCTGTGATTCTGTGATTGTCTTGCAGAGTTTCTGTTTCTACCTTCATCTGGCTGACTTGGTCTTGCTGGTATCTTCCTCCGATGGCTGAAGGATCTTTTCTGGGGAATAAAATGTACTTAGCATCCAGTCAGCTCTGCTGTAGGGGATCCACCCCAGAGTCATTGCTGCAATGTGGTACAACTGAAACTAACAAAAGTCGAAATGCATTCCCTTCTCATTGGTAGTGTTGAAAGGCAATTACCCATCTTTTCAAAATGCAGTCTTTGCCATTTCCTTTTAGGTGGTGCATAAGAAAACTCCCTTTCCTGTTGCAGTCTGCTCTTTTGTATGAAGTAGCTATGCCATTTTCTAGGGAATTTGGCAATTGAGACAGAAATTGTATTCATAGCTCACATAAATACAGGATACACATGCAGGCTGGCAGTGTGTCGGAATGGCCAGGATTATTTTTAGACCTCTAGATGGCTGTGTCACATCCAGGAAGTGCAGGGAGGAGATCTCTGGTTGAAGTTCAGTGTGAGAACGTATTTTTTAATGACCTTGGCACAGAAAACAGTTGTATTTTTACTTCTTTATAAGCTGAGGCTGAGAGACAAATTTGTTTAAAGGAGTTGCCTGCTGGTTGGGTGGAGCACGTGGAGCTATCACAGCCCTGGGATGCCCAGAACAGAAGTGACTGTGTGTTTAAAGAATAATAATAACGAAAAGAAAACAAGACTGGATTAATAAATACACTGTATATAGTGGCATGTTGACAAGTTTATAAGTATAGAGTCTAAGTTTAGGTACCTAACTCCACCATTAGGATTTTGAATAACAGGGCTGGATCTGTAGGGGTCAACTTCTTCCCTTTCTGTTGTACTTAATAGAGAATGGTATGTGCTCAGCCTTTCCAGAAGTGAAGCTGCATAGTTGACAAGTTTGACATTTTTCTGGTCTCCAAATCAATGAGGTATGCTGTTTCACAGTGAGGCAGAGTCCTTGTGCTGCTTCCTTACTCTGTAATATTTTTTTCTTTTTCACTTTCTTTCTCTCTGGGGGGAAGAGCACTGTTGTTGGGTAGCTAAATGCAGTGACTGGATAGGTTTTGTTTTACAGTACACTGCAGTTGCATAGGAAAAGCTTTTATTAAGATGTAGTTTATTTACAGATGTGTATGTTTCTATCCCCTAGCTGAATGGAAGAAGCTCACTGGGCTTTATAATATCAGCTTTCATAAGATAAAATGCTGCTATCCAAGGAGCACAAATGGATTGTTAGGGTCTTCTGGGATCCAGCCTGGTTTGCCTGTTAAATATATTTGTTGTGATGGTTAGGCTAAGGCCAGGCTGGCTCTGTTTGTTAATCCAGCTGGAAGGAGAAACCAACAACAGAGGTCACACGTGCTTTAGGCAATGACGTTTCTGAAAACGTCTTCCCACTTTTCTAAATGCAAGATGACCCTTCTGATTAGGATAAACAATATACCCATGCTTTTCTGCTGGTGTCGTTTTCTGGAGCCCCACTTCACTTTGCATATGACTTTGGTTTGCATGTTATAAATATAAAAGTAGGGAGAGATGTAGGAGACTTCCCCCCAAAGGCTATTCTGATACGTGGATAGTTTGCCTTTATTAGGGGTGGACAGGTCATTGTTATCCCCTAACCAAATGCTGGGCCATGCTCTAACCTGCAGCAACAGGAGGTCCAGCTGATGGCACAGCAGATGCATAGTGGGGAGAGTGATGGAGTGATGGAGCACGCATTGCTCAGCATCTGCAGTGCTTTGGTGCTCCAGAACTAGGTGTGAGATTACAGAACCAGTTGTATTTCGTTGTTGTTCAGACCTCAACCTTGCATGAGACATTTTGATGCTGGTCCTGGTTTTCAGCCTGCTCCTTTTAGCAGAACAAGTCTGTGCTACATCAGCTGCTTCTCCTTCCCTGAAGACAGCTTTACTCATGTGACAGCCTATAATAGTTCACAGTGTGTCACACAAGCTGGAAGTCACTGAGATATTATTGTCAAAGGCTGGTTAATTTTCTAATCACTGTTACTTGTCCCTGGGCAAGCTGGGACTGAAATCTCTTATAGTTAAGTATTCTCAGTGTTTTCAGAACCCTGTAAAAGCAAGATAAGCAGTCCCTTGCACTTGGAGGTTTCCTTTTAAAAATACAGTCAAGTCAATATATACAAAGATACTTAAATACATTACTTTAGGATATGATATCCTTACTTACTAGCGGAATTTAACATCTTGGGGCTATGAACAAATGAAATAAACTTTGGGACAGACGCCTGCAAAAGTGGTTTGCTATGATTGGGTTGTAGCAGGGGAGGAAGCAAATAGATAGTGGGCTCTGAGAGGCTCCACTTGTGTTGAGAACTGAAAAGAAAATCTAGCAAAAATGGAGGGCCGATATCCATGTATAGTATAGAGAACATCATAAAGTTTTCTTAGTTTTATTGGAGCTATAGTTTTGGTCTTCTTTAAAATAGTTATATGGCTGCATGGACCAAGTGGACAGCGATGTGTAACTACTGCTCCCCAGCTGCTTGTGGCTTCTCCTCTCCTAGAGACCATTGTCCTTTCCCATCTATGTCAGCACAGAGGAATGTGTGCCAGTGCCATAGTTTCATCTGGATGCAGCCACTTGAGCAAGTGCTTAGCATGCCAGACTGATCTGAGCCCGCTGGGATGTGGGCAGTGATCCCGCCCTGTAGTGTGCTGTGGGGGTGGTAAGCTTTGCTAAGAAAGGAATCAGCAGAGGGAAGTGGTGTCTGGAACTGTAACAGCTTTACTTGCTCGAGCTGCTTGATCAAAGCTATATTAACAACAGCAAATCTTGCCTGCTACTAGGCAAAGAAATATCAAGATCATAATTTTGGAACTGTGTGGGGAGAAAGCTTTGAAGGTGATGCAAAGATTAGCTGTGTGATGAGAGATCCTCCCTTCTCGCTCTTATTAAGTAGCTGCAGTAAAATGTATGCATTTGCTATCAGTAAAAAAATTTTCTTACGCAGCTGCGCAAGTGAAATGCAAAACACACAGCTGAGACTTGCTCTCTGGATGTCAGGATGTGCACTGCCAAAGCAGCTCTCACAGAAGAGAACAGGTTTAGCTTGAAGTACAGAGTAAGCGAGCTATAAAACAGAACAGTCTGCAAATTCCCATCTTTGCAGGTATAATCAACCCAACATTCCTTGCAAAGAAAGCTTTCAGCTCCCTTGAAACACAGGAAAAGGTGGGTAGGGCAGCATGTACTTTTCTCCTTATGCAGCACTTGAGGGCAACTTCTGGGAATTTGGTTCTATCACATGAGACACCGCAGGAATTATCAGCCCAAGTGACTGTTACCACAGGTAGTGGCAGGACACCCAGGGTGCGGTGAGATGATAAGGGAAAGACCACTAAATGGCTCTCTGCCTTTAGAAGGGATTATTCCTGGGCCCCATTTCCATCTCCTGGTCTCTGCTTCTAGCTGTGTGTTCCCTGTGATGTCTCATGCCTATCTGACTGCATGGTAAAGCAAGCTGACATACCTGCAGCAAATAAAAGTAAACACCCTGCTGTTGAATCAGATAGCTCTGCAGTCAAATGAGCCAAAGCCAGCTCCAAGAAAAACTTGGCTGGGAATTCACAGCTCCTGGCAAGACCATTGTGTGGAGTGTTAAATGAGCTCAGGACATGTTTTCAGTGCATCACTTAACTATGAGAGATAGCTGAGTCAATCCAACAGCCAGCAGTGAGGAGAGGAGAAAGGGAATAGGGCAGCTCCCTTTTGCAGTGGTATGCTTTGAAGTCAATCGAGCTGTCTGCATATTGGCAGCATAGTACTACTGCCTAAGCTAGCTGAAACAGATCCTGCCATTTCCCTGCCCACCTGTCTGCCACCATCCCAGTTGTGACCTGGCCCAGCCGCTGTGGAACTACTCAGGACTACCTCAGGGATCTGATCTAACTGAAAAATAATATGATGAGCAGAGCTGGTATGCAGATAGTGTGGCTAATAAGGCATCAGGGACAACAGGCCCAAGTCAGTAGTTCTCTGCAGCTCTACTTGCCCTATCTAGATATAGTGGCATCTCCTGCACTGCAAGAGTTAAAGAGCAGGAAAGGCAAAGTATCTGCCAAAAAAGGATGGTCTGTATTCTACCAGTTCTTCTTCAGCAGAAATTGGAGAAAAACAAATATTCTCATGAATCTTCTACATACTGTCTGTTGGTGTAGAAAGCACTCACACGTAAGTTATTGCACTGCATTTCTGAATGTGTTTGTGTGAGGCTTATTTTGTCTACGCAAGGAAACTGTGGCTTATCTTCGGACAACCAAGTCGGTCATGATGTAGGAATCTCTCTCAGATCCAGAGGCAGGTTTGGAATTTTTCCCTCATGAGTAACACTACCATGGTCCATTTCTCTCAAAATGTTCTACCATGCTGTGTCATCTCTGGCCTTGGCTTGTTCTGGATGACATGATTTTAAGATAAGTAAGATGGATCAAAAGTCAAAATCCAGTGCCTGCATATCTCTCTAGATACAGAAGAAAGGCAGAAGGAGCTGCCAAGAAAAGTTCACAGAATCAAAGCTACCATAGATAAAAATAATGAGATGGCTGATCGAATCTGGGTGTTGAGACAGACTCTGTGAAACCAGCTGAGTGAAAGAATACCAAAACGTCCGTGGGCATGCTTGCTCTGGAAGGCAAGAGAGAATTGAGAAATTAAGCCTTTGATAGAATAAAACAAAGCATAGAACAGATATTCGCCGTGAGTTTTTCTTTTGCAGTCAGAGTTCATTTTGTGTCCTGCTTTTCCAGTGGCATCAGCGGATTTGTGAAAGTTTTCTGCATTTATTTCCAAGAGCCTTTCTTTGCGTGTTTAAAATGAAGAAAAAAAAAAAGAACAACCTTTCTCCACCAGATGGCAGAATCACTCACAAACTATTCCGGACAAAACTTGAAAAGCCTGCATGTTCTAAGTCTGAGTGAGGCAAGCTTTGTAAATAGAGCGCTGTCTGTTAGATCAGCTAGTGTAGCCAGGGGAGACAGCTGAAAAACAACCTTAATGACACCCTTCAAAAATGCATATACCAGCTGGATTTGTATATCTTCTTTCCCTGCAAACCTTGCCTTGCTGATAAACATTGTGGATGTTATCTTGTCCTTTAGAAAAAGATTTCAATTTGTAGAGTGGCAAGGGTGGGAATTCCCCTTCATTTTCCTGTTTCATATTTAGTCAGAACCAAAAACTTATTCTGGAACAAAACCAAGTCCCCTTCAACGACTACCCATCTTGTTCAAGTTTCTCTAGCGCAGCTGGGCTCATCAGAGACCTCCCTGGACTAAAACATGCAACATACTGGCAGCTAGCACCAGGTGACTTTCAGAAAGGAGCTATGATGACTCTACAGTAAAAAATAAAAAAATAAAATAAAGGCAGGATATCAAATATATGGACTTTTAAACAGTAAAAAAGAATAAACGCTCCTGCATTGTACTTCTGAGTTAATTCAATTGTAGAAACATTTTCAGATGTAACTATAGAGAAATGAAGACATGCAAGAGTTAGTCTTGCATAAGAGTAAATCAGCTTACAAGCTCTTGGTATGAAACTACTTTTTTAAAGGTTGAGAGGACATATATTTCAAACAGACTATGAAAATACTATCAAAATATAGGGGACAAAGAGACAAAGAATATGCAAGTGATGGGAGAGAGACACCAAAGGAGGCAAGTGGAGAAATTCTGAGATGTACGTAAAAGATCACGATCTCCAGAATGCCCAAATCCTGCTTTCTTCATTTCTCACTGTAGCTTTGAGGGTGGAAAACATACACAAGAGCTTTCCCTGTGACTCAGGAGAAGTCTGTGACTGTCACATACCAGGGCCTTGTCACCCAAGTTGGCACGAGCAGATTGATCATCCAGGCTGCAAAACAGAACTGAGTCCCTTTGGTTACAGAAGGCCTCCCAGGAACACCCAGCTGTTTTCTTGGCCGGCTCATTTCCCTGCAGTTGTAGCTGAAAGGCCTGGGTACCGTGCTTATCCCCTCACATGTGGCCTCATACATCTCCAACAGAAAAATGGTTTTATTCTGCGCTAGATTGCTGTTGAAGAAGAAATAATTTTTGCAGAAACCTGTAGATCTTCAGGGACATCTGCATGTTCTGCTACAGCACAGAAGTATTTCCTGGTTTGTTTTTCCTCACCAGTCATGGTTCCTTAATTCTGGGAGGTGAGGTTCAGTCCCTATTTCCCAGGCCCTTTCTTAGCAAACATCTGAATAAAAGGAACTGTGAGATGTGCTGTGAGCAGCTGCAGAATGAGAAATTGCTACAAATGACATTCAGGCAAAGGCAAAATAGGTACTTTCCATGTTTTAGTGGCAAGGGACAAACCCCGAGGACAGATGGAAGGAAGAGGTCCCAAACGGACCCATTAAGAACATCAATGAATAAATATTTGTATCACATCCTTAACATCCACTAACCTGATGACATCATATTGATAATGCACTTAGACAATCCTGGCAGATTTTGGCTAAGAGAGAGCAAGATGATTAGTTATGTTTTTTGTGAAGATCCAAGTACGTGTAGGATGCAGTAAGTAAACCATGTGATCAGCCATAAATATAAAAATGAAAGATGCAAATTCTAAGAGACTTCAGAAATATAAACCTTTGCCAGAAGAAATTTGGGAAAGGATCACTCAAGTGAAAGTGCAACTATATGATAACGAGGCTGTATGAATGTTGGGGCAGTTGAAGAAGTTCTATATACATTCTCTTCCCTTTCAGATCTTTCTTTTGATCAGAACATTAATAGACCACTGGAAACACAATAACAATCATTATTATTAATAATAATACTTTACTGCATGTTCATTATGGTATGCAAATTTAAAGATTAAAAGGCAATGTGCTTCAGGAAGACTGCCTCTCCAATACACCCTGCTTCCTGTGTAAAGCTCAAGATGCCCGGGGCACAAAGCACTGTATCACAGGCTACTTTGCCAACTAGGCAAAGGGAAAACTTGGTGCAAGTTTGTCCATGACTGTCTGGGATTCATCAGTGAATTTATTTTGTACTCTCCCCTCCTGTCATTTTTGCATTTATGCTGACTCTAGATGTAGAAAGCCTGCCTTTTCTGTGTCTTTTTTGCTATAAGAGAGTCTTTCAAATCAAACAGACACCATTTTGAAGGAAAAAGGGCAAGACTGGAATAACCACTGTCTGGACATGATAGTTTGCTTGTTGACAAAGAAAGCAATGCAGTGTGTGCAAGCTCACAAGCTCACTATTAGCAGTCCATAATTTGCCATCTTCTTGGTTTGGGTCTCAGCTGGAGTTCAGGTTGATTTTCTGTCTGTGATTCAGGATGTTTCAGGACGTCTGCAGATTTAGTTTACTAGTTTCATAAGGTGAACAAAACATCGGTCAGAAGAGTCCATACCGCTACAGACACTGAACGGTGATTGAACTAGCACTGAAAGAGCTCCCCCTTCCTAGCAGAACTGCAGAACCCCTTCTCTCACACCCTGTGGTGATGGTACTGCTCCATCAGCCCACAGAGAGCCTTTGTAGTTCTGTGGCGTGACAGCATTCCTTACTTAGATGTGGTTGTTTCATGTTCGTGCTAAAGCGGGTATTCATTCACTGGCAGACAACTGGACAACATAAAAAACTTCTCTTCTTGCTTTGCAACAAGTAGTTGTAGCAATTAGATGGTGAGGTGGCATTTCATCAGGATACACCTGAATATAGATAAAAAAGATGCAGGTTTGATAGCCAGGAAAGCAAGGTGACTCTTCAGAAGGATGACTGAGCTGGGTACATTTTATTTCAGGATACATATGCATCCATGCCTGGTCTGGAGGAGACCTAATCTCAAAGAAGTTCAGAGCAAACTTATCTCAATAAACCCATTTCCAGTGTAGCCGTTGGAATGCGCACCAAAGATTCATAAAGTAGCCTGTTTGTGATGGCTAGGGACTCCTGGAGTGAGATTACTCACATTAACCTTCAAGATTTCAATAGGAAGCTGCCCTAGAGTGGATAAGGCTTTCAGTAGAGTGCTTCGAACGACTTTGCTAACTGCTGGTATTGTTTCACTCCATGCACTCTAGCTGTATGTTAAGAGCTGTATTTGTAAAGCAATGCTTTCAAAAGCAGAGATCAATTTGATACCAGGAGAATGGTGACTTTGTAATTCACATGCCACATCTCTCGTTAGCAGAAGGGAAATGCAGAGGCTTCTTCAGGAATGGGTAGCTCATTCTGTGTAATGTAAAATCATACAGCGAAAGGGCTGCGCCAACCTGTGGAGCAGAACGCAATCGGGTCTGCAAGGGAGGGAGTTACAGCAATTTTAAGTTCCAAAATAAAGACTATTATTTATTGTGTAATACGCAGCTCGAAAGCAAGAAGGGGAGCAGGCAGGAGAGATGTGGACAAATACGTCAGCGGGGCTTGGACAATGGTAGGAGATCCATGGCCAGACCACAGTGCAGGGCCGGGTTAAGGAGCTGCTTGTGTCATGTAATGTAACGCCCTGCGGGCCTCTGTTGTTAGCAACGAGCAGTTGGAATCACGGCCAGGCAGTTAGGATTCGTTTGTTATCATCCTCCCCCAGCCTCCCCCAACCCAAACTGCAGCCTGACTAAAACAGCGCTGTCAAGCTGACCTCACCTTCAGCCATAGTTCTGCCTGTCTGTATGTTTCTGCCCGTGCGCGGCACCTCGAGCAGACGGCGCTTGCTCTGCCCACTTTGTTTGCAGCCTTTCCTGGAACGAGGCTCCCCCTGAAAATATTTCAGAACGTGGATGCACTGCGGGGCTCCTCGGGAGCTCCTGAAAGCATCCATCTTTCACACGATGCTCCGTATTCTGGGCGATTCCCAGAACAGACTGACATCAAAATGACCATGGAACACCGAATTAATGAAACACTTCTAAACTCAACTGGTGCCGTCCTAATCTGTTTATACGGGGCTTTCTCTGATCTAATTACAAGCAAACAAGTCCCACAGAGAGAGGTCACTGCATTGCTCAATTTTCACAGCTACGAGCTTGGGAGAGCTCATCACATCCCAGCCGCGTACTTCACCCCTGGTTAACAAGAGTAGGAGAAAAATTGGGTTTCTCCACTCAGTGATAGCTGTCACCAAAGCTGCTGGGAGACAGAGCTCCTTCCTGAGGCTTCTCCTTTTCTGTTCTCCAGAATCACTCCACAAGCTCCTTTCAAAAGAGAGGACTGAGCTGAATACTAGTGAGAGAAAAATAGAAGATTAAAAAGTTTCATTCCACATTAGACGTTGGGCACCGCTAAGTAGAAGTTCCAGATAATGGGTTTATAATTTTGCCAGTTTTTGACAGCATACATTACTGTTCTGTTTAGTTTTGCTTCAGGCTGACTGAGCTGCTACCAAACAAGAATCAGATTTGGGCAGGCAGCCAGACGCTACCAGCGTCTCCCAAAAGCAGGAAGGAATGTGTATTTCGAGTAAACAAAAGCAAAACTAAAACCTGCTGTTTTCTGATGTGGCCTTGGTTTGGCTCCAGGTGTTTTTGGGGCTGCTTGCTTTTAGTGCTCACAAGAGCTGTGGTGCCTGGCTGCAGGGAGTGAGAGCTTCTAACCAGCTGTCAGAAAAACCTTCTGCTTGGCACTGCCTTTGCCAGTCCCCCTGAAGTAAGGCTACAGTTTTCAAAATGTAAAAGGTTGTATCTGGCACAGTTCCCGTTTAAAAGCAAAATACAGCATAGCCTTCCCTGCTTAACAGCTGCAAGAGCACTGAATGTGCTATTTGTGTTCTCCCAGCTGCTGAGCCTTCCCCTTGATTTCCCCTTTGCATTACGATGTACAAAATTACCCCACAGAAGGCTGCATCTCCTTTTCATTTGCACAAAATTTGGAAGTCATTTATAGCACGAAGTTTCTGATGGTACTGACTGACCTCTGTACTACTACAGGTCTTGGCTTAGCAAGCGTTACAGTGAGTTCTCTAAACCATGTTTCCTATGTGTGCTTTTTCTTACACAAGAGAACAGGAACGTCAAGAAAGAAAACAACATAATTCTTTCTCTGATATTTACACAGCTGTGCATCAACCCACTCAGCGGCCTGCAGGGTCGTGGCTGTGGCAGGCAGCCCTGCAGTGAGCCTTGCTGCAGGCACCATCGCAGCATCCTTTTTCCTCTGTCCTTTCACCTTGCTGTGCCTGACAGCTTTCTGGCACACTACCAGAGATGCTAAGGCTTAGGAAAGGACCCATCAGCAGAAGCTCCAGAGTTGTGTTTTGTTTTGGCCTGGGAGCAGTTGGAGGATGGCACAGGAGGTTAGCCCAGCAGATAGCCAAGCAGCAGCAAATGGGTTACAGAGCAGAACTGAAGAAGCCTGGCCACCTGTGCCTCTGACCATCTCATGGGAATATCAGGCCATTTCGGGAATGTGCTGAGTGTTGTCTAGGTAGCATATGAGGAAAGAGTCAGAACATGTTGGAAAAATGAATCAATTGGGATGAGGAATAAAAATCTGAAACTGAAGTTTTTTATGGCTCATCTGTTCTTATGAGTTGGGCATCTCTGCAGCACAGCAACCCATCTTTCCTCTGGGAAATGTGCTTATAGGTAAACCAGATCCAACCCAGAAAAAATTAATTAGCTTGCAAGCATTACATGATGAAACATCTGTAGTTAGAACCTGAATTTATATTAATATGGATGTCATAGTTTGTTAGCTACCAATGATGTAAAGTGGGTATCTTCAGTTAACTACAGCTGTTCCAGATACTATCTGTAACATTACAAATAAATTACAGAGATATTGAAAACCTGTGGCAGATGGGGGGTCTTACTGTAGTGATATCTCCTTTTCCTTTTAGGACCTTGAAATAGTGGGGAAGTCAGTTCTCACCATCATACAGGCTTATTACTCACCCTTCATAAAACCTTTAGTTATACTTGTCCAGAACTATCAGGTGTGAGAAAATAATTGTACATGTTGGTGAAACAGCATCTGCTGTATTAGTGACAAATGGGACAAAAGCAGTGCAGCATTACAAGTCAGAAAATATCCCCTATCTCTCTAGCAAAGCATAAACAGCATATTTTACCTACTTAAGCCTCTCCTTTGAGATTAGTCTGTCTGAGGTAAGGTTGACCTTGAAGCCAGACAACAATTCTGGACAGAAACTGCTTTTTCTTTTTTCCCTGTCTTAGCTATTAATAGGTAAGAAAAGTTATTCCTTGAAGAATTACAACCTGATCACAAATACACCGGTCATGAGATGCTTGTTAGCTGAGAAGTGGAAGAAGAAAATAATAGCCACCAATTTAATACATCTTCGGCTGTATTCATGTAGAAAACGTAATGCTAATATAAAAAAAAGAAAAATCTTTATTACCACACAGCTGAGCAAAATGATATCATGTTTAAAACATGGTTCAGTAATGCGATATGTCTTCAGAAGAGCCTGATGCCCCATTCCTAGAGGTGTTTAAGGCTAGGCTAGTTGGGACCTTGGGCAATCTGATCTAGTACTTGATCTAGTGCCTGGCAACACTGTCTGCAGCCGGGTGGTTGGAACTTGATGATCTTTGAGGTCCCTTCCAACCCAAGCTGTTCTGCGATTCATTTTATGGAGTACTTTTTTTTTCAGTTCAGTAAAATACATTATGTATAGTGATAAATTGCTTGTCTGCCACATGAGGACAAGATGGAGCACTCAGCATTAAATCTACTCACTGCAGCCATTCAGTTCTATCACATTTTTGCACAGAAGTCATCAACTCTTTGAAAGGGTAGATAACAGCAGGACAAGGGGAAATGGTTTTAAGCTGAAGGAGGGAAGATTTAGGTTGGATGTCAGGGGGAAGTTCTTTACAGAGCGAGTGGTGAGGTACTGGAACAGGCTGCCCAGAGAGGTTGTGGATGCCCCGTTCCTGGAGGTGTTCAAGGCCACATTGGATGGGGCCCTGGGCAGCCTGGTCTAGTATTAAATGAGGAGGTTGGTGGCCCTGCATGTGGCAGGGGGGTTGGAGACTTGTGATCCTTGAGGTCCCTTCCAACCCTGGCCATTCTGTGATTCTGTGAAGTCATTTTCCACTGATGAGCAGACTAGGAATTCAGTAAGGATCTGAGTAAGTTGTGTGCTGTGTTGAAGCAATCAGATAGCTAACTTTGCCGATGGCAGGACAACACACTTAAAACAATAAAGTCTATTTGCCTTGATGCTCTGCTGCTAACAGGGACGAGCACAAGGAGCAGACCTGCTGCAGCTTCTCAGCCATCCCTCACTAGGCCTTGAGCTTTACACTCTACAAGGACAGCAAGCTTGCCCTGAAAATCTCTCATCACACAAACACTTCGATGTAAACCAAGGCTGGAATTTTTCGGAGGTGCTGTTGTTACTGGAAATCTGTGTTTGGCCAGTGGACAAGTCCAGGCAGTCACCCACTGCTTGTTGGAACAAGTTAGTTGTCATGGGAAAGCAACCTCCTGGAGCTGCTCTGCTGCTGCCCATCTTCACACACCATTTGCAGCATTCTGGTTCCTTAACAAACCTTTTCACCTCTTCAAAAATAATTCTGAAGTGTCGCTGTGGGCAAATAAATCTGAGAATGAGAAAAGGGAGAAAGACTGATAACCAATCAGTCCTGATTGAAGCGTGGCAACTAATGAGCGCCCGCCCCAATAACACGCTCCTGAATAGCCTCATGTTCTAAATTACAGAGAGAGGGGACAGGAACGTAGCTCACACTGCTCATTTCTCTAGGGAAGTGATATTTCCTCCTAGTTTCCTAAACAGCAGCAAAAAAAGATGGCCAAAGTGAGCGCTGCTAATCAAATCATCACCCAAAGGTACAGTTGCATTTCAGCCAGGCACGACACTACTGTCTCCCTGAATGTACTGTGGCTGTTAGCAGGCCTTCATTAAGACGGAAAGAAGGAAGCAGAGCGAAACCTTCCAGAGCAGCCCGTCCCTCAGCGCCGCTCCTGCCGCCCGCGCCCCGCCAGAACGGCTCCTGAGGCGCCGCCGGAGGGCTGCGCGCGACGCGGCCGTTGCCCCGCGGCCGTTAGGGGGCGCTGGAGGGGGGGGGCCGCGCGGCCAAGATGGCGGCGTGGGGCGCGGACCTCGCTGCGGCCTCGTAAGGCCCGCGTTCCTCCGGGCCGGGCGGCGAAGCGAGCGCGGCTGGCGGTGCGTGGGGGCTCGGTCGGCTAGCCGCAGGAGCCGAGATGCCGCTCGGGCGGCCGCCTCGGGGCGGGACGGAGGGGGCCGGGGAGGGAAGGCCGGACGCTCGCGCGCGGCCGAGGCGAGCGGCGCGGCTTCCGCCCGCAGGCGTCAGAGATCGGGGCCGGCGGGGGGTGGGGGGCGCGGGGACGGGGCGGCCCTCCGCTACGCCGCGCCGTGAGTCAGCGCCGCTCCGCCGCCCCGCGGTGACTCGGCAGCGCCGCGCCGGGTCATGCTCGGACATGTCGGGCCGCGGCGGCCGTAGCCAAGCCCCGACTTGCCTCCTGGCAGCGCTATATAAGGGCGGCCCGGCCCGCATGGCCCGGCTGTGCCGAGCCCGGGGCGCGGCGCTGTGCGGGCGGCGGCGTTCCGGGGGCCGCGTGACGTGGCGGAACGTAACGTGACGTCTGTTGTCCCCTCGACTGCAGGCAAATGTGCAATACCGAGATGACCTCCCTGACGGACGGCTCTCCTGTCAGCGCCTCGGAGCAGGAGGCTCTGGTCAGTGCTCGCGGGCGGGCGGTGCGGGGACACGGGCGCCTTTCGGTCCCGTCGGTGTGAGAGCGGGGCATGGCAGAACCGGACCGAACCGCCCGCGTGTGGGGGCCGGGCGCTGTTTCCCGGAGCTCTGTGGCGGGCAGCCTGCTTGCTTGTGAGGATTGGGCGAGCTGAAAATACGAGCTTCCTGGCGAAGCGGTTCAAAACGGGTAATAAGCTCTGGAAAACGGGTGTAGTTCGGGGTGTGGGAAAGCCATCGTGGCGCAGCTGAGGGTTTTAAATTTGGCGTTTTCGCTTTCGGTTACGCCGGGCTTGATAAGGGAGCGTTAGTCCGAGCCCCCACGGGGGGGGGGGCTTCTCTCCTCTGCTTTCATAGGAGGCTCTTATATGGATCCACTTTACACTCCCACACCTTTTCTTTCCTCACCTCGTAAGTTACTGTGGGCTCCCTCTGTAAAGCTGCCGTGTCCTGCCTGCGCCAAGGAGTCGAAGCTTTTAGAATGGGAGTGAGTAGGCACGGTGTTGTCTGCAGGTTTTTCTATGTGTGATTCTTGCAACTGATCTCTTGCTAATGCACTAATGCTTGATGCTAATTGTAGCAAATATTTGAAATGGAATATAGGGAAGCTTCCCTTCTTCCTTTAAAGATTTATTCCTTGTCTCATGTTTTATTAGGGGAATATTTTAGGGTAACTAAAATTAGCCTGGTCACAGAATCGTTGTGCTGTTGTTAAAGTGGCAGTGCTGTTACTGCACCGAGGGATTTCCAGCAGTTGTCATGCAGGCACCTTGCTTGCAGTTGTGGCTCCCCTGCAGCTGGTTCTCATCCCCTGCATTGTGCTGGCACAGCTGTTTGGAGGACAGTACAGTGAATGGGATCAGCCAGAGGGAAAAGGGGGGAGGGGGAAGAATCACTTGGGAGCGTTTTCTCCCTTTGCCCCAGGAGTTGTTCACAGATTGGCTGTGGAGAGAAATGCTGGCCCAGCATGTGGGAGGGCATTGTGGGTGTAGGAGTGATTGAAATAGTACAATGGGAAAGATGAGCTCTGTCTGCCTGTCCCAAGTGAGGAGGTTCAGGGGCAGAGCTGGCTGCCATGGGTGAAACCACACACTCATACAGTGTCACAGGAACTCGATCTTTGCTTTGTCTCTTGCATTCTGGACCTGACAGTCATAGAGGTCTTAAGTTTAACTTCGCAAAGCCAAAAAATTGGATAGATTATCATGTACCCGTGTGTCTCTTATGTCAGGTTAATGTAGAAGAGGGAAACCAATCTGTGTTTATTTGTAGAGCTGTTCAGTGAATAATTGCTGCATGCTGTTCTTCTGTTTTCATCTCCACACAGGTTAAACCAAAGCCACTGTTGTTGAAGCTGTTGAAGTTAGCTGGTGCAGAAAAAGACACTTTTACTATGAAGGAGGTGAGAACTTTTAATTAATAAAGGTAGATGATGGTAAATACAGGGAGATTGTTTTTCTGGTTTGGCTGATGGAGAGGCAGTGGGGTTTAACAAATGATATTGAAAAAAGGTATTGGTTTAAGTTTTTCTGCTCACTTGGTAGGCAGTGTTTACCAAGTTTCTCAACATCTACAAAGGCTTCTGGCTGTCTGTAGAATAACAAAGTTCTCAGGGTACAATAGGTGAAAATGGCAGCTCTGAGGGAGTTTCAGGTGATCAGAGTGAGGGGAGCGTGTTTCTCTTGTATTTGATCTTCAAAGAGCAAAACCTCTGTATGTGATAATGTCTGTGGTTTGTTTTACAGGTAATATTCTATCTTGGACAATATATTATGTCTAAACAGTTATACGATGAAAAAGAGCAACATATTGTGCACTGTGCAAATGATCTTCTTGGGGATTTATTTGGAGTAACAAGCTTTTCAGTAAAAGAACACAGGTAAAATGGAATTCTTTTCTGAGAATCTGGTTGTGAAGTAATGGAGAACGCAATTTGTACAGCCTTGTATTAATTCTTTATAGCTTGACAAATGGTAAGCTCTCCTTCATAATTTGTCACCTGATGTGGTCTTTTTCTCTGAACTAACCTTTGTGTCTGTAATCAAGAAATCCCAAACGTTCCACACATTTGCAGGTGTTGCAGTAGCCTCAGGCAGACCATCCCAAGGTGAAAGAAAATTCTCTTCTGTAATGTAACAGCTGCAAGGGGATTGCAGAAACATTTAAGATCAGACTCCTGACCTGATTTCTGTAAGAAGCAACATAGGCTTTAGAAGTTAACAGCAGAGAACAGTAGCATGTAATCACAGTGTGTTCTCCTAGCCACTAATCAAGCCTTGCTACAGTATTTTAACATTTCTTCTGAGTAAATTGCTTGTCTTGCTAGACTCTACAGATTATCAGAAGTCCCATCTGAAAAGCACTGATTCAGAATTCCTCTTGTTAGAAATAAATGTTGATTTGTTAGGGGCTCTTTGTCAAAAGGATTGTGAATTTTCTGTTCTCTGACTGAGTGCGTTCAGAAGCTAATGCTCTTTCTATTCTACTGAGGTGGATAAAATCTCTTCCTTTGAGTGAAACAATGATGAAAGTGCTTCAGCACTTCGAAATAACTGTTTTCTACATTTGTCATAGGAATTGCCTTGTTTTTCTGGGCAATCTCCAATTATCACAGTTGGGGGAAAAAAAAAAAAGAACTTTCCAGTAGAGTGTGGAATGTATATATAAGCTCTAAAATAGCTAACTTGCATCGTCTTTCTTTATCCCCATCTAAGGAGAATATATTCCATGATTTCCAGAAATCTGATAGCAATCAATCAACAAGGTAAGCTAGTTTGGGAGAGCCTTCTGTTTTGGGAAGTAGCAGAAGAGCAAATTAACTCATGTTAATGCATCTTTCATCTGGTAATCAGATAGCATCTGCCTCTCCATAATTAGCTGCTGGGCCTTACGCACTGCTCACTGCAGTGCTCGCAGATGAAGGCAAATTAAATCAAACAGTATTTCTTCGGGGGGGTTGGGAAGGTTCTAAACTGCATTTGGATAATGTGGGATTTGAACCAGATGAAGCACAAACAGGACTTGATTGAAAAGCTGCTTGCATTTCTTATGGCTAAAACTTTGTGGTGTTAAAGATTTAATTCCAGAAATGAGCTTTGTGAGCT